ATTGTACAGTGGCATTAAGTGCCGTAATGTGCACCTCTGCCTACCCCTTCGGGGATAAAAGGCGTGATGTTATGTTATGTAATTAAAACCTATAATTGGCGACTGTATAAGCTTAATACCTATTGTCACTTTCAATATCACTTAATACTATGTATACAGAAGCTGTTGGTATACCTATTTAAATAAATAAATAAATTGAAATCGGTGAAACTATTAGCTGCTTAGGAGAGCTAAAATAACACTATATTTTTAACTTACTTTTAGAAAGAAATTTACAGTCCAAAATCAATTTCTAACCGCTAACATTTCATTCAATACACAATTACACATACACACGCCACGAACGAAACACAAGTAAAACAAAACTAAAGCTAGCTAAACTGAAGGTTGAACAAATTATTTCACTCGATATATCGTTATTGCCAGTCGATCGGTTATAACTCTATAATAAACCTCTTTTCTAAAACTTTACCCACATCTTGGGTTATTTTCTAACCACTTTCGTAGAGAAGCGAGGTTAAAAATATCGGAAAATTTAACTCGTCACTTCTCAAGCAGCCGCACGCTCTATTATACTTATATGCTCCTGGTACTTCGATAGTTTGAGTAAGGTTTTTTAAGGAAATCTTTTGAGTACAGATTAATTTTTTTTAAACGATTGATTTTTTTTCCGCACGTGTTGAGTTTACGTCCAGTTAAGCTCTATCACATTTATATGATCCTGGTAATTTGACTAGTATTTTTAAAGAAAAATCGCCTTAGGTTTATTACTTTTTGGACTTTTGTTGTAATTATTGTATTTCATTGTATATTTCTAATGCCATTGATTCTATAAACATTTCAAGCAGCCTTTTAACTTACTATTTCTCCTATAGATTTTCTCACCATTTCCACAAGAGGGTGAAGTTAACAGTGCTTGTTATCGCAGAGCAGCTGGCGCACTATCGGAAAAATTTAACTCATCACTTTTCAAGTGGCCAGCCTTTCAGCACGTGTTGAGTGTACGTGCAGTGAAGCTCTAACACACTTATGCGCTCCTGGTACCTCGACTAGCGTTTTGAAAGGAAAATGGTTCGTTGAGTTGATTTTGATGACTTGTTGTATGGTAAATAAAGTCAACTTTTTAATATTTATTTCATCATCAATAAGCCCGCAAGAGTCAAGTGTCAACTAGTGATTGTATGGCTTCTCAATATAAGAAGGGTTGGCCATAATCTCCATGCTTCTCAAGTGCATTAAATCATCACCTCCTCTCTGTTAAATGTAGGTAGTTTTTTAGTATCTTTTGGTCGATACTGACCACATTCGCAAGAAGAGCTAGGTAACTAATATATTCTAGCTGTCGTCACCTGGCTGGAATTTCATTCATTTTATTACAATAATAATATTACTAGCTTTTCTGCTACCAAGTAACTGACAGAATTATACGGGTAACATTTTTGTGGAGAGCGTAATTATTGTGTATAGAAGAGAAAATTAATGACTTGTCTCAAGAAATAAGATTAATAAGCTCTATAATGAAATGTTGACACATTCTATTTATCTTTAGTAGCCGTATTGATAGAATACTCTATAGAAACTGACCATACAAGCAAAATATAATCACAAAATATTTGGCACACAAAGCTACGTAGTACACATTTGGTTCAATTATACTTTAGGGGAAAATATTTTGGCTAATAAAGCTAATATATTATAGGCAGAACACGAAAAACATAACAAGAAAAATATATGAGAAAATAATGTAATCAAAAATAATGGAACTGAGAAATAATGACATGATAACAACGCACACGTTGGTCGAGAAAAATAATGTTGGACAGACAGAAAGACAATCAATCATTTTGACGTATTGTTTTAGGTGCCTCTGTTGCGTCGATACATGTGGTTTATGTATATTTATTTCATAAAGGGAATGACGAGATAATAAACAAGTAAAAATGTATTACACATTTTGTAGTAGGTATATCTGAAAGCTATTTTATTTAACTGTCAGTTAAAATGAATGAAATTGAATTTAAAATGGGTATTGGAGTGTTTTTGGAAAATGAATTTAAATTCTAACAGATTTGTCTACGTATGTAAATGACAGTACAAAATAAATGTATATTTATTAAAATAAAATTGAATGAAATAATCCAAATTCGATAAAATTTTATAAGGTCAAAACAGATATTCGCAGAATTGATTATAGTTCTGTCCTAGGTTCAGTTTGATTTGAATAAGATGAATGACCTGAAAATTTTGTTAGTGTAGGCGTTTCTTCGTAACATTTGTCAAAAATGTAGTCGTAGTGTCAAGAACCAGTGTAAAAGTGTAATCGTATAATCGTAATCGAAACCAGTGTAATCGTGACATTGTTTTAACATGGTGGTGATGGTATTAGAAACG